GGCAGAGAATGACATGGAGCCCCCAGCTCTGCACCAGCTTATCTCACGATATGAAAAGAGGTAAAGCTAAAGTTTCCTCGTCTTCTCAGCCCCCAAAGCAATGTCAATTCTCAGTCAGGAAGAAGCAGAGATGACACTGCAAATTTGGAAGCTTGCCCATCGCCTGGCTCTGCTGGTAAGGGGACTGTGGCCTCGACACAAAAGGGCTGAGCCCCACTACCCCCAGGCAATCCTCTCTGAAATTCAGCCACCAGGAAAGTAAAAGCATAGCAGACCAGTCCTGCAAGTTCTCATTCTCCATGCAGTCTGTCTTTAGGAGGGTGGCTTACTTTCCTGCAAATATTCTGGGCGAACATAAAAAGTGATACGTACCATCTGACGGAAGTGCAACTTTTCCTGAGACAGGAAGAAAGCAGAGGGCAGACAGCAAATATTTATTGGAATGCCTATTTTGAGCTTGGGTTTTAAAATGCCTTTGCTCATGTAATCCTAATATCAACTCCATTTGTAGTTAAAAAAAAGCAACTCAAAGACTAAGTAAATGTTCGAGTCACCATGCATTACTCAAGAAAAGTACCATGATCTGCATCTGTGTCTACTTCATGCTAGAGCCCAAACTCTATCTATATTTGATTTTTATCCATCTACGTCTGTCCCTAGGATCAGAAGAGCAGAGTTTGGAATTAATGATAGGTTAATTCACAAAGGTAAGACTTCCCATACTTTTGAGAAATGATTAAATGTTCAGTAGCATATGAAGGTCACATGGAAGAGTCTTTTTTTTTTTTTTTTTTTTTTGAGACGGAGTCTCGCTCTGCCGCCCAGGCTGGAGTGCAGTGGCCAGATCTCCCAGCTCACCTAGCTCCGCCTCCTGGGTTCGCTCACTGCAAGCACCGCCTCCTGGGTTCACGCCATTCTCCTGCCTCAGCCTCCCGAGTAGCTGGGACTACAGGCGCCCGCCACCTCGCCCAGCTAGTTTTTTTTTTTTTGTATTTTTTTAGTAGAGACGGGGTTTCACCGTATTAGCCAGGATGGTCTCGATCTCCTGACCTTGTGATCCGCCCGTCTCGGCCTCCCAAAGTGCTGGGATTACAGGCTTGAGCCACCGCGCCCGGCCATGGAAGAGTCTTAAGGTCTGACTAGATCAGGACAAATTGAGGGTGAGATGAGGGTTAGGACAGCGCAGTGGCTGCAGCCACCAAGGCCTGTGGCTCCTTCACATGGCACACCTGGTGGGGATTAGGGCAGACATGGCAAGCCTGGGGGCCCCGCTGCAGTCATGTGCAAAAGTGATTCCATGATCAGCGGGCACTCTCTAAGAAAGCTCCATGGCCTCTGAGGATGCCTGAGCATCCCAGCTGGAACTCACGAAAAGCAGCACGGGCCCCGCACAGCAAACGCAGCTGCTTGGCAAGGCGACCACAATGTTCTCATTAACTGAAAGCTACAGAGTAGAGGCTCAATAAACCCTTGTCGAATCTTGCAGGTGAACTGAGGAAGACAATATAGAATTAGCCACTCAAAGAAAAGAGTAGTTCACATTCCCCTCCTGCACTCCAAGCCCTAGGCTCAGCAATTTATTTGTATCACCCCAGAGTGCACACTGGCATCCTGACTGGGAAGACAAGGTGCTCCTGACCCAGCAAGGTTATATGTCACCCTAAGTCACACAGCTGGCATGGGGCCCTCACTGCAAGGCCCTGCCAAGGCCAGCCCCTCCCGGGTGACTGACCCAGCACGTGTGGAGGCTCTTCAGAAACCAGCTGGCAGAGCTGGGCCCACAGCTCTTCCTACCTGTCGTCTTTTTATTTGCACATGCCCAGCTTTCTGGAGTGGGACTACTAAGAAGTAATAAAATGTCATTTTTTAAAGCTGCTTTACAAAAACTGATTATTCATTCTCTTCTGAAATACAGCAAAGACTAGATTTTAGAAGGACTTTAATTAATGCCCCTTTAACAGGACTATTCAAAAGCAAACACCAAAGGTAAAAATCTTGCTTTGATCCACCTACTTTAAACTCCATCAGTCTGCCACAGTGATGCTGTATAAAGGCAGGTTACACCATGGTAGCTTTCAGAGACCCTTCTTTCCTCCCTGACTCCGGGACGGAACATATCCAAAGAATAAAATCATTCCCCAGAGGGAAGACCAAGCTGGCTTGAACCAGCACCTACGCTGCAGCACACGAACCATTTGGTCCCTGGAGGTCTGATTCACAGGGAGACTGTCAGAGCCAGTGTGTCGTCTCGGCCGCATGCCAGGCACGGGGGAAGTGAGGTGGGTCGGACCCACCGTGGGGGAAAACAGGAACTGAGCAGAGAGTCACGTGGAGTTGCCCATGTCTCTTGGACATTGGGGAGTGAGAGATGTAACAGGACAGGACAGGTAGCAGGCGTGGTCATTCCCTACCCAACCTCACCCCGTGGAGGTCAGAGGGTGAAAGTGGGCACAGGGGCGTGGCAGGAAGGTCGTGTCACAGCACAGGTGCCTCTGGGGATCACACCCAAAGGCCTCTAATTCTCCACATTAACCCACAGGATTCAAGTAAAGAAAGTCCTTGAACAAAGAATCTGTGATCTGACACTTCCCCCTCGCCTCCTGTGGGAGCCGTCACAGATCCTGTAACAGGAGACGCTGGGCCTCCCGTGGCTGGTGCCTCTGCTCCCAGTTCAACCCAGAGGTCACCTTCCAGAGAGCCTGGGCAGCCACGCCCACCCTGATGGTGACATTGGCCACCTGGGAACACACGGACCCCTGCTCGGCTACCCCCACTCCACATGCCAACCACAGAATGAGTCTAAGCCTGACGGCTCTCATTTCACTGTTTCTTGCGAATTATGGAACATGGAATTCCATCACTGACTACTCAGGAGCCCACACTAAATGCCTGGCCTACCCCTGGTGATCCGATGCAGCTCGTGAGCCTCTGGCCTGTCTTCTGCACATTCTCCACTGGCCTGTCTCCCGCACCTGACTCTGGGCTCCAGAGGGCAGCACAGCAGGTCCAGTGCCTGACACGGAGTCAGGGCCCAGTATGTTTCTGTGGAATAATGGGTAGGTGCCCTTTGTCCTCTTGTCCAGTGGGCTCTAGCCTTCAGCCTGGGGTTGCGCATCCGGGGCAGAGGCCCGTGGAATGCAGCACGTTATATGGTGATGACAGGAAAGGCAGGCAGTTGCTCCCGCCCAGAGAAGCTGGGCCTGCCCACAGGCTCCAGGGCCCTGCGACAGCCCCTTCACAGCGGGCTCTCCTGTGAGGCGCCTGGAGGAGGGCCTGGGCTCTGCAGCTGGAGCCTGCCAAGCCTGGAGGAGCCTGGAGCCATTATGGGGTCTGTCTCCTTAGCAAGGCCCTGACCGGACCCTGAGAGTTCAGAGGTCCCTGCTCTTGATCATGAGTGACCACCTGGGCCACCAGTGGCCCCAGGTCTTCTCTTGGGGAAGAAGAGTCCACTGGGCAGAGAAGCAAGGTGGGTTTCTGTGTGCCTAAAAATAGCCCAAGGAAGCTGCTCCTCTCGCCCTCCAACTGAGCTGGGAGGGAGGGAGGCACTGGCGCAGTTTCCTGGGAAGCTGTGCAGCCAGACGACAATCGGAATTAGCATCAGAACACCTTGATAAAAGGAAGGGAGAAGGAGTTGAATCCCTGAATGAAAAATAGATTATTCACTGTCAGGCTGAACAATAGAACAAGACATAAATAGCAGCCGCGCGCAGGACATGCCAATTTTGCTCAAAAACAGCGTGCATGGCTCTCCTACCGCCTTCCAGAGCGTGCCACCGCCGAGTTCTGCACTCAGCAGATGGGGGAGAGAGCAGTGGCCTCTCGGAGGCAGGAAGGATGTGGGCTTTAGAAGCAGAGATTTGAGTTAGAATTCTAGTTCTCTTATTTACAACTCTGTGTGTGTCTGTGTGTGTGTGACAGAGAGAGAGAGAGAGAGAAACACTGACACAGAGAGACACAGGCAAGACAGAACGAGTGAAGAGAGAGAACACAATGACTTCTTGGCATCTAAAATACCGTGAGGCTGACATAAGGGAAGAATTCCCTGTGTAGGGAGGTGGGAAGAATGTTGAGTGTTAACATTAGAGATCTGCATTAGGATTCTGGCTTTGTCATTTACATCTGGGGGCCGCGGGGAGCAGGTGTAGGAGGGGCAGGGGATGGAGGAGACACAGGAGACAGGACATGAAGATGGAAAGGAGGAAGGAGAAGCAGGAGGGAGAGACGACCTAGCAACCAGCGTGGATAAGTTACAAAGCCTCTCAGAGCTTTGGTTTGCACATGGAGAAAACAAGGTTCCAACTATTTCCCCTGGAACCTGGGACAGCTGTAAAACCCAAGTGTGAGCTTGTTGGTTGAGCACTTGGTGCAGATAATTGTTCAACAGCAACTGCCAGGACAGCCAGAACCAGTCTCTTCTGCACTCACCCAGCCCTCCTACTCAATTTCACCTGTCAGTCCTATTTCGTTTGCTCCCAAATGTTTGCTTCACAGGGCTCCCTATGCACCTGGTTGGCCCTGCCTCAGGTGCCCTAGAGGACAGGGCTGTGATGCACGGATGTGAGGCCCCAGCTGTCACCTCCCTGTGAGCTGACCAGGGTCTCTGTAGCAGCTTCCCCTGATAAGCCCCTCTCGCAGGACCTCAAGAGTCCTGGAAAGGCGTCATTCCGCCACATCTGTGTCAGCGCTTAGACCCATGACTCAGGTTAACTGAGGGTTCTGCTCTTGGTGCTGATGGAGGCTCATATTATCTCAAGCTCTCATGTAGCTCTGAGCTGGAGCTGTGTGTCAGGCTGCTGCCCTCCACAGCATTCAACCAAAAAAACTACCATTCACGGAGGCACAGGGAGGGAGGCTGGGTCATTTGCTCAGGGTTCTGGGAGGAGCCAGGATTCAGAATCTGAGGAAAGGCACTGTCTGGCTGCAGGCCTGTGGCTGGGAAGAGCCCTGGGTGGCACAGAGGCTGCACGGGCTGGTGGGGCCCACCCCAGAGCCCACCTTACCTTGGTGAAGGTTAGACAGTCCTTGTCTTGGTCTTTGTCCTTCATCTCGAAATCATAAAGTGCTTTTCCCTGGGGCGGGGCGTGTGGCAAGGGCTGGATGCACTGGATATAGCTGGCTGGGAGGAAGCCCTGTGTGCCGTGCAGCTCGCCATGGTACCACTGTTCATCCACCTTGCGCCGCAGGACGATGATGTCCCCCTTGTTGAACTTGAGGTCGCCGGGTTCCTTCCCCTCGTAGCTGTAGAGGGCCTTGCCATAGGGAAGCAGGCAGGGATTCTGCAAGCAAGAGACAGCATGTGGTCAACGGGCAGGCTCCTTCCCAGTGCCCTGAGTGGATCTGCTGGGGCAGGCCGGGGCTTCCCGGGGGCTTTCTGTGTCCTGGGGGTGCATACAAAGTGCCCCACAAGTGGAAAATATTTTAAAGAAACAGCCTGTCACAGGAACACGCACATACCGAGGCCCTACCGAGATAACAGGGTCCTCATCATAGCCATTCCTCCTAAATAGGATACTGTCTGGGGCCTTCCACACAGACCACCTCATTCTGTGCAGAAAGGACTCTGAAGTAGGTGCTGGCTTATCTTCATGTACAGATGGGGACACTGAGGCACACAGAGGGAAGGTGACTTTCCCAAGGCGCACACCTAGGAGCAGTAGGTGGAATCTGAACCCAGGGGGTCTGGGCTGGGAATTTCTCACCCAATACTCTGTGCTGAATTACTTTCCATTGGTTCCTATTTCTCAGGCATTTTAGTCTAAGAAGCTGCCAGATTTCTAGCAAGTATCCAACAATTTTTTTCTTTACTTCTTCTACGTAATAGTCACAGCAACTCAGAGCATGCTCCAGGGGTTGAAGCTGAGCAGCAGGCGTGCATGGCATCCGTCGTGCTCAGCGTCCCACTCAGCAGACTCACGGCCAGCGGCACACACACAAGGACAATGACAAACAGCCTGTGTAGAGCACAAGGGCTGTGCCCAGGCACAGGGGTTCTAACAAGCAGTCCCCGGCCATCACAGACCCCCAACCATGACACACAACTTTCTGCTGCGTGTACCTGTAGCAGTCTGTTCCAGAAGTACACTTTCAAGGGCGTAAGACTGTATCCTCCTAACATGAGCGATGTTCTTGTATCCGTTGGAGGAAAACCAATCCGTCTGCACCTGTTCTGTCATCCTCGGTCTCAAACCATGACTAGCTCTGAAATCCAAACAAGATTCTAGGCTGCTTCTGCTTGTCAGCGATAAGGAGCCTGTCAAAGAATCCCGAAACTGATGTGATGTCTTCGTCCACTTCCTAGGCTTCTCTTAACTGGCCCTGTCTCATCATGACCATCTGGCCACACGGGCCTCTCTCCCTTTCCTTTATGGGTGGCCAATACCCGCTCAACTGTGGGAGCTTTGTCAGAGGTCAATCCTGTGCCAGAGGAAAACCAAAGGAAAGCCCTGCATTGTCCGGGTGTCAATACCCAACGATTTTCCTACCAGAAGCCGCATTTTCTCACCAGGGCTGCCTATGCCAAGGAGTTCTTCAGTATTCGAATCAATCAATAGAAGCACAAAAGCCTGAAGCACTAGTACATCGAAAAACTCTTTGTGGAGGACTTAATAGCATGTTGGCAACTCAATCATTCTACATTTATGTTTCAGCAACGTCAAACGACAGCAGTTAAGAGAGAGCCTGCTGGCAAATTGACAAACAGCCACCACTAACCAATTAAACAGTAACACCAGAGGATTTTTCATTGCAGAACTCGAAGAGAAAAAAAAATCCGTTTGCTTCCAATAATACTCATTCTGGATAGCTTTGTGGTGCGAGCACAATAGTGTGTAACGAGCCCCAATTTTAGAGAGCGGAGGCAAGGGGTAATTTGCAAGACAAGCACTGTGGTCGGAAAAAAATTGGAAGGGGCAGTTGGCTGCAGGCCATCAGAATAATTCCGCTGCCACACAGGGGCCACTCAGCCGCCAGCCAGGGAATCTCAATTTGGGACAATTCTGTCTGAAGATATTTTTGGCTATCACAACCGGAAGGTGGGGTGCTACCAACATGTAACAAGTAAAAGCCAGGGACATTGCCAAACACCCTGCAATGCCCAGGACAGTCCCTGCTACAAAGAAAGACCCGGCCCAGAGCATCAGTAGGTTAAGAAACCCTGGTCCAGCCTATTTGGTTAAGTTTACAAAAAAAGACAGAGTAAGGTTCCTTGTTCTAATAGAACTTAGTCTACGAACACTTCAAAAGTTAAATATAACATGTATTTTCATGATGGGAGTATTTTCACTATTGGCTACATGGAGACACTTAGATATCCATCAAGGTAAGCGGTTTTAAAGGGATGGTAAGAAAAAAAAAACATGCTGTGAAGTTGAAAAACCAGCCTCAACAAGATGCACACAAAAAAGCTTTCCTTTGTCAAGGAATGACTCTATTTCCTTTCATTCCCAAATCACAAGGGTAAGGCTTAAAAGCCGTGTTATAAGAGCTACAGACTCAATGGCTGTGTGGTGACTTTTGCTACCATTGGTAACAACTGTGGGCAGGAAGGGCCAGTTTTACACCTGCCTCCATGCGGCACTCCCTTCTGCAGCCAGCTCGTGCTATCTGAGCACACACACCTCCCTGCAATGTCCCTGTGAGAAGGGGACACTGTATTTCCTCCCCAGCCTCCCCACCATCGGCCTTCTCTAGACTGGCTGACATAAAGGCCCCCTGAAGACACCACTCATACCCACATTGTGTAACTGCGGCCCCGACTTAGGTAGTGTGGCAGGGAAAGCTGGGGTGTAGGACCAGAGAAACTGAGGCACCTTCCACCAGGCAGCCTGGGGCTGTAGGCCACCGCCCAGGACAGAGGACTCTGTGAGGCAAGGCACACACTCTTGAGTCACAGAGGGGTTCTGCCTTTCATGAATTCTCCGGAGGGACCATGGCCTCACTGGTACCAGCACTGCGGCCTGCAGGTCTCCTTGACGCCCCCCTTCACTGTCGCAGACCCCAGCTTGACCTGCCTGTGCCAGTGGCCCTCAAATCAACCTGTGCCTGTGACGTCCCTTCTGATTAGCGGACTTGATGTGAACCCAGATGCCTGCTTGCCTGCTCTGCTGGACATCCACAAGCTCCTAGAGGCCATCGTCTGTCCCTCCCAGCCCTACCTCCTGTGGCCATGGAATCTCCACTCAGCTGCTGGGCAGGGACCTTCAGTCACCCCTGTGCCCACCCTTTCCCTTGGCCTGGGCACTCCTCCTGCCAACTCCACTTCTGAGCTCTCACCCAGAGGGCCATGCACCCTCCCCGTCCCGCTGCCTTGCATGCCATCTATCCTGCGCCCAGTGCAAACCTCCTCCAGTGGTCTCCTGGCTCATCAGCCTGTCCAAATGCAGGGCCAAGCTCACACACCTGCTACTTATGAGCTTCAGTGGCTGCCTGCTGACCTCAGGGGATCCGAGCTCCTCGGCACAGCAGCCGAGGTCCCCTAAGCTGGCCCCAGCACACCTGCCCAGCCACAGCAGACAGCGTCCTCAGTCACAAGAAGTCTGTGCTTCTGGAACCTAGAACCTGCAGGGTTTTGCAGACAGAGCTCCATGCTACTTCCTCTGCCCTTCTCACTCCCTCTGAAACCCATACTGCTCCCCCGTTACCAACTGTGCCCTCCTAATTCCATCAGCCACTCACCAGCCATCCTTACTCTATCAGCCACCTTCCTAATTCCTTCGCTTCTATGCCACCAAGGCCCCCAGGACGAGGCTGTGCTGTTCACCCGGATGACCTCAGGACCCAGGAGTGTTCTCCCTGCATAGCAGGTCCCCTCTGTGTGCTGTTAATTCAAAGGCACTCAGGTTAGTCCTGAGTCAGGCCTGGATGGGGATGCAGGGCGTAAAGTTAGAAAAGAAGTATCTGGGGCCGGGTATGGTGGCTCACGCCTATCATCTTAGCACTCTGGAAGGCTGAGGATGGAAAATCACTTGAGGCCAGGGGTTTAAGGCTAGCCTGGGCAACATATTGAGACCCTATCGCTAAAAAAAAAAAAAGAAAGAAAGAATTTTTTTTTTTTTTTTAAATAGCCAGACATTGTGGCAAGTACTTGTAGTCTCAGCTATTGGGAGGCTGAGGCAAGATGACTGAATGAGCCTGGGAGTTCGAGGCTGCAGTAAGCAATGATCGTACCACTGCACTCCAGCCTGGGTGACAGAGCAAGACCCTGTGTCTAATGAAAAAAAAGGAAACCAGGGCAGGAGTAGGGCAGAAGCAAGGGCAGACTGGAGATTGTACTCCCGGCCACCACTCCACAGGTGGTGACCCACCTGCTGGCCCCAACCCGCCTGCTGGCCTCGAGGCTGGGACTGAGAGCAAGCAAGCTGTGAGAGCGTGCGGGCTGCAGGTGGGGCCTGTTTGCCTTGCTGGCTGGTGAGCCAGAATGGAGAAGGGTAGGGGACAGAGAAGGCGGGAGAGAAAAGGCAAGAGAGCCCCCTGTATCCCCATCTCAGACTGCCAGACCCAGATTTGACAGAGCAAAACCAAGAGGGGGAGTGAATCTTTTTAAGATGCAGGACACATTTGTGAGGGAAAGAAAAAAAACAGAGTTAAGGAAGGTGCCGAGAGGCAGTTTATTTGGATGAGCAGCAGCAGCCAGAAACTGGATCTCATCAGGAAATGCTCCTATGGGTGACACCCGGCACCTCCAGAGTCTTTCATCTTCAAAGCTCTTTATAAGATTAACTAATTAGTGCAAGGAAGAGGCCTAGGGCAGGCAGATGCTATTATGGGGGAGAAAAGATTTCTGCCGATTTCGCAGCAGCAACCCGGAGGCCTCTATGTCCCAGCCTCCACACCCACCCAGGAGGGTGGCCAGCTGCTCCAGAGCCTGTTTGCTTTCTGCCCACAGACGCGTTTGCAAGAACTTCTCACACTGTGACGTGCTACCCTTTAGAGGAATTTCATTCAAACATTGTCACTAAGCTGCCATTATTTGGGCTCAAGACATTAAGAAAAAGAAATAAAAGAAAAAGGGAAAACCCATCTGGGATGCCTACAGGACAATTAACACCAGCCACCCCTGCAAGGCATTAATAATAATTAAAACTCATAATGTCAATTTCATGGCTCATTACTCAGATGTGGCACACACATCTTCCTCTGGGCTTAATGTCCTACCCGTGGAGACGGCGCTCACGTGGGCACAATGGCGCCATCTCTGGCTTCTACTGGAATCAGGCACGTGGCAGCAGGCTCTAATGAATGTGCTCTTGACAGCCCTGGGTGGGACTCTCAGGCAAGCCATACTCCTGAGCAAGGGTGGGTGCCAAAGCCAGCCTGCAGCATGGGGAGGGCACGACCCCGACTGGCCTATTCCAGACCTCCCGGCAAGCTGAGGTGGAGAGCGTGGAGCACCGGCTCCCTGTGTTTAAGACCCTAAGGATGTAATCTTTCCAGGAGAGCACTTGCCACGGCTCTCACTACCTGCTTTCAATGGAGGGCCCCCTCCACGGTTGGCCCATCAGGACAGATTCCCGCCTGTTTTGCTCACTGGTGGATCCCCCGCTGCTGGCCTGACACAGATCACACACTCGATATATCTACTGAACGAATTAACACACAGACTAGCAAACCAGTCCCCTGGGACGGGGGCCTTGGTTCACAGCTTCTATCTGGCCCATTATTTTTCCCAAAATATGAGATTCACGGTCCAGGTGACCCAAGATCCTGTTGCTAATAGCAGCTGGGCCTGGAGGAATGGGGAAAATCCCAGGGATGGCTGATGAGGAGTGGGGCATTCCAGCCAGAGGTTCAGCCCATGCAAAGGCCCGGAGTTACAGATGGACACAGGGCCTCCCCACGGGCAGTCTCTAGACCTGTATAGCACAGCATGTGGCCAGCTGAAAAGTGTCAGGAAGATGAACACGTTCGTCCACAGGCCCTGAAGGGTGAGACCCTAATCGTACACACACCAAGCACTGCAGGGTCTGAGAAAGCGGCAGAGATAGTTAATGACCCCCTGATACCCACTCTCTGCTTCTTTTGTCTGGGAGAATACTCCAAATTTCAACTGAGGTCAAGCTTCCAGCAGAAGCCTTCATTTTCCAGCCTTGCCTGCAGGCAGCCGTGGGTAGGTGTCCACGTTTCTGTCCACGAAATGCAAGTCAAAGTGATTCCTGCAAATTCTGGAGCATGTTTTATAATGACTTGCATAAGGAAATCTGCCTTCCCACGGGCTGCATGGTAGATATGGTAGGGTGGGTCAGTTTTTCCATCAAACATTATGCTCAAAGGGGGAAGAAATCTGGGTCTTGGGGTGACCTTGCAGAACATACCCCCTGACCATGAAGAAAAAGGAAACTCGATCTTATCTGAGCCATCACGTTTTGGGATCTTATTCACAGCTTAGCCTATATTCTGACTCATTCAGGAAGTCTCAGGTGTATTTACAATTTCTTTAGCTCGTAAGCATTTTTTAAGCCAAGGCATTGACTTTCATAGCACTGCTGAGGGTTATCATTTATGTGCTGTCATCTTTAAATAGCACTTTCAACTCAGAGACTCTGAGATTTAGAAAAGGCATGACTCTTGGCCTTACCTTATTTTAAATAATGTATTTACCAGAGTGTACCCCATCTTTCAGTTTATAGATTTAATCTGCGATGAAGAAGTTTGTTACTATATCACACTGCAACCAGAGGTTCCCAAGTTTTCGTTTCACAGATAATTAGATTTCGAGTTCCTTTGTCCCTTTTTCTCATTCAAAGCTGCTTGTTGGGTCCTTTTTCTTTCGTCCTCTCTTTTCTTCTGACAGTTTCTTCTTTTCCCGTATTTGCACACTCATTCGTCCAAGAATTGATGAAGAATTGATGAAATAAGACAAAGCAGGAAAACACAACTTGCCCTTCACATACAGGGTGACGAGGCCACTGCTAAGCTGCTGTGTGGGATGCAACTGTGAAGACATAAATTGTCTACAGCCAAGAGCTGCCTATAGCAGTTTCATGTTGCAGCCAGATTAGAGAGGATTTAAAAGCAAATTTATTTTTCTTTTTTTCTTCCTTTTTTTACTTTTCCCAGACTTTGTTGTGGCCTGTTTCCCTGTTGCATCAAAACAGCAGTGAGGTCATCTGCGGTGGCCTTAGGAAGCACCTTTTGACAAAGTACCTTGGGCTTAGTTTTCCCATAAACCGGAGATACTCAAATCTGCCCTTCCATGCTTCTTAGTATGTCGAGAACAAAACTGATGATACGTAAAGAACTTTGTGTCTCTTAATGAAGAAGGAGTTATAAAAAAAATGATCACTGACTACTTGCTGAGGCAAACAGATGTTCCAGGACATGGGTGCCCAGGCCAGGACAGGCAGATGCTTCTCAGTGTAGAAAGTGGTCAGTGGTGATCCCTCCCCGTGCACTGCAGCAGAAGTCAGATGGGAGAACTGAGGACCACCCCTCCAGCATCCGCACACATTCGCTGAATAAGTGAATTCAGCAAAGAACCGATGCACAGTCCTTGGGTGTAGACCCTCTCTTGCCCTCAGGGTTGAGGTATGTGCTTCTCCGGGTTCCAGCAGTACTGGGGCTCTCATCCCGACCTCGCCCCTTCCTGTCCTGAGCACCTCCTGTGTGCCCACTGCTCCTACCTCTACCTGCGAGACCCACAGGATCCTTACAGCAATCCTGTGAGCTTGGCCTTATATTATCTGCACTTTACAGATAGGAAATTGGGGCACAGTGAGGTCCAGTAACTTGCCCAAGGTCCAAGAGGCAGGACTGGACCCAGGTGGTCTGACCTCTCAGCCTGAGCACTGCTGGCTACACACATCACCTCCTCAAAGTAACACAGCCATTATTTAGCTGTTACTCCCCACCAGACACTCCTGATAGCTATTACTGCTCACACGACCCCTGTGAAATAGGAATTACGGTCCTTTTATAAGTGAGAAAAAATGCAGCAAGGTGGGCAAATTCCTCAGCATCACAGAGCATGTAATTGGGCAACCAGCTTCCAACCACCTGCCTCCTCCTCACTCCCCCAAAAGGGGAGGGAGGCCTCTGTGGAGCCCTGATAATTGTTTAATTATGGAAGGAAAAGGGCACTTGTGGGTCGGTCATTCATTAGGCCAGGAGGGTCCAGATCTGTTTACATTTATCCAGTTCGGAGATGCATTGCTCACTTCCTCACTTTCTGGGAAGACAGCTCCCCACGCTGTGAGCTGGTATTTGCAGCGTTCTAGGCATGTTCTGATAATGTGTACTTACAGGAGCACTTGAGCAAGTCCCCCCAGCAACCACCAGGCACCTTGAAAAGTGCTCCTGTGATCCCTCCCAGGGAACAAAGGCCTCGCTACCTGCAACCCCTGCAGCCCCACCCAGGCACCCTCCAGGACCTGCATCCAGCTGATTCCTGGCTGGCCCATCTCTCACCTTTCAACTGGCCCTTTGGGCAGCACACTCACCAGGGCCTCCTTCGTGGGTGGCCTCGGGTCAGTGGGGCCTTGCACTGGGGACCCGGATCTCCAGCCACCTCAGAAGACCAAGAGGACAGGAGGGAAATGAAAGAGGGGACTAAAGGCAGAGGATTCCTTGTAGGTCCTTATTTCAACCCAAACCAACCACCACATCATCTTAATATATATACATTTTTCACATCATTATTTTCATGTTACCCCTCACCCCCCCCCCCAAAAAAAAACAGTTGACCCTTGAACCAACATGGGTTTAAACTGCAAGGGTCTACTTATATGTGGATTTTTTTCAATAAGTTATACTGAGTGTGCCCCCGTCCTCTGCCTCCCCGTCCACCTCCTCTACCTTTTCTCTGCCTGAGAGAGCTGGCTTTGCAACCCCTCCTCCTCCTCAGCCTACACAACGTGAAGATGATGAAAACGAAGACCTTTATGATGATTCACTTCCCCTTAATGAGTAGTAAATATATTTTCTCTTCCTTACAATTTTTTAAATAACAATTTCTTTTCTCTAGCTCGCT